AGAGAGAGAAGGAGAGAGAGAGAGAGTTGCCCTGGAATATGTCACATACTGTGCGTCCGGACTCGTTATTCAAGGCCCTAAACTCCGTCTTTCCCCTTGAGTCGTCAGGGGCGAGAACCCGACACGATTAAGCACCAACGACTGCAAGCTGTGAGTCTTTATTATTTTTTTTTTCGAGGCTGATTTTACGCGCACCTGAATATCTGAAGTAAAGCGCAAAAAAACGTCGCCCGTTGTCGATGAATGGGAACAAGCCTTTGTGCTAGCCTACAACGGGCCAGGCAACAGTGAACGACGCGCGGTTTGTGCCCGCGATACAACAAGCCGTCAGACGGGCTTGCTCGCAGTTTGTGGGCCACAGTTGCATTGGCTGACGGCTGACGATATCAACCTTTCAGTTCAGAACCAGGAAATGGGGAGTATTTGACGTGGTGGTGGTGGTGGTAGATCTATACGTCTCTGAAGAAAGCAAGTTTCGAAACACCCTGGTTTCATTTGGAATATTTGTAATTTACCTGTGGAACTTCTTTGTTTTGGAGGTAAGAAGACACGAGGACATACATAAAACCAAATACGAATTTGTGGATGTATACACGTTAGTTTTCTTGCGTTTAAATTGAGGCTTCTATTATTGTTTATTGGCAAATTGAGGGTGTGGTTTGTCATGATCACATGAATTCCTTGACGGGTGGGTGGTTTGGAATCTCTGCTTTTTAAAAATTTGTTGCCTTTCACGAGAGTATGCAAGTTACAGAATTAGTTTTAGATTTGTGATAGTTCTGTAATGTTTCTATTGTAGATCAAGTCCTGACGTTGTAGTTGTGCTACTATACTTTGTTTGACTTTCTGTCAATTCTTTTTATCTTACGTAGGCCTATTAAGTTTTCATATGAAAACCCTGGACTACAAAGAAGTTTTGAAATTCACTTGGTTGATTGCTCTCTCGTTTATAGGTTTTAAAAATTTTATTTAAAAAGTAGGACAGCAGCAACCGGGACGCACATGTGATTACAAGAGAACAGCATTAACAAAAGCAACAACAATAACAACAACACCACCACCTTCAAAAACAACAGCAACAATAAAACCCACACAAAGACGCACACTCAC